CTCAACATTTATTGTTTCTTCATAGTCGTCTCACTTTCGTACAATTTTGCAATGTAGATCAGTTTCGTCATTTGCGATGCGAAGTGTACGTTGATAACGTATCAGGAGATTATAAATATTTCGTTTATTCTTTCATCTCTTCACCGATTACAAAAGTTCAACTAGAGTCTACGCTCGATACGGTTTCAGTACTAATCAATTGCTATTTAATGAGAATTCTAATAGAGTCATTATTTACCAAGTAAATTCTCATACCTTTTTCCTGGAGCAGAGGGATGCGAGAGTCGTGGATGTGACTGACACATTTTTTTTAAAATCAAATTTTGATCCGAAGATCGGTTTTAAAACCATTTGCTTCGATACCAAAATGTAACACCCTAATCCGTCCAGGTCTGCAGCCCCTTTCAGACTAAAGTATTAACTTGGTAATCGTAAAATTTAAAAACTTTTCAAACACTTTTATTTATCACAATAATATTTTTTATAACATATACAGTACGGACTATTCAACAATATTGCGGAAGCTTAACAAATCATAATCACAAACATAATTAAAACCATCACATCCATTCCGACAATCTCGCCTCCGTCTGCCTCCCGATCACGTCACATCATTCTTTCTGTTAACCTGCGTGTAGCAAATAAAACATACTACACGCTCAGTGGTAAAGCTGAGTAAGCATATCTAAAGCATCAAACATCCATATAAACAGAATCTCAATTCATAATCAAATCATTTGATATCATGCACATAATGTTTAGTTCAGATATTCAATAATTAATATTCAATTTTCAACATTCATTATTCAATCATTCAACATGTATATTCATCATTCATATTCAACATTTTTATTCAACATTCGTCATACAATGTTCATCATTTGTCATTCAACAATATCCTTAAACTATTCTTAGTCTAACGCCAATCTGTCTGATGTTTACCAACTCTTAAACGAATTCTAGTTTAATATAGATAAACTATATTCTAGTTTAAAGTACTTTTAACCAACTCTTAAGCTAGGTCATTAGTTTAAAGTACATATTTTCTGACCGATTTACCAACTCTTAAACTAGCATTCGCTTAAGGTACAAATCCATAAAACCGAACAGTAGAATATTAACTATCGGGTTGGGTGGTATCCCCAAACGAGTTCCTCTAGTTTGGTTTGTAGATCCCGTACGTACGTTTTAACCCAGGCCACCGAATATTCATAATTATACCCGCAAGGCCTATTTCTAAACTACCTTAGAGGTCTTCTAGATAGTCTTAGAAACCAACGTCAACCTAGGTATATCTTAGAGTTCTTCTAGATATCCTTACAATCCAAATCATTTCATAATCATAAACATATTAATTTCAATTCATAATTTAATCCTCAATAATCATTTTAATCAATGGTTTCATCAAGTCATAACCATAATAATCATTCATCATAATCATCAATCAACATATCATTCGATAGCAAATAGCGGCCTAGCTTTGAGTGTTAACACCCGAACTTACTGTCATGCATCACATAACATTTTTATTTGTTAAAAACATCATTTTATTGTGGTAAATCATTTTTATAATGATCATAATCAATTGGTATCAAAAATAGGATTTTAGAGCTCAAAAATAGCATTTTCAGAAGTATTTTCGGAGCAGAGAGGTCGGGGGATCGATCCAGGCAGTGTGATCGATCAAGACAGTGTGACTGATCAGGGCAGTGTGATCGATCCAGGCAAGGTGATTAATCAAGGCAATGTGATCAATCCAAGCAGTGTGATCGATCCAGGCAGTGTAGTTTCAGGTTACTGTTCATCTTCTTCAACCTTCGGTCCATTTTTCGGGAATGGCATTTTTAGGTACTGAACTTCAATTAAGTTATATAGAGATGTTCTCCAAGGTTCATAGATCATTTTAGAATCATTAAATCATATTTTTAACTTCAAATTTAAGGTTTATGATTCTTAGTTCTTCAAACATATCAAACACAAAACTCAACCAAATGACCATTTATGAACGTAGAAACGACCTATATGAACATTCTAGTCATTAGATATATCTACGGGCTTACCTCGAAGGTAAATGAAGGTTTTGAAGATTTTCCGGTGAAACTTCCGGCGACTATATCTTTCTACTTCGGCGACCTCTCACAGAGCTGACAGCACCAGTGTATTCTCCTCACTCAGAGCAGCAGGATAGAAGGAAGAATTGTAGATTTTGGTGAAGAAATGAGGAAGATGAGTTCCTCTTATATAGTAGTAGGAGGAAGAAGAAGACATGGGATTGAGTGATTTCCAGGATCGGGGAATCGGCTAGTGCGCCGTTCGCACAGTAGCCCACCGTTTGTTTGATTCCCTGATTGGAACTGATTTTGGTCCCAGTTGGGGTACACTTTTTGGTCTAACTTTCTCCGAATTGAAATCCGATTGCACCGTTGCGATCATACAATTAAACTCTATCCAACGATATAATTTTTATATTTATTTGTAATACTTTTTACGACATCATATTTTTGGGTGTTTGACTCTGTCAGAGTCAAAATTGGTTTAATTGACTTTTATCATAAAAGGTTCTTACATTTAATTTATTCTCATGGTTTATTCCAGGAATTCATTTCAAATTTCATATGACAACAATATCTTCATTTATCCTTGATTTGGGTCTAATTAAGGTCACATAATAAGTCAACATTTTGGATTTATCTCTATGAGACTTATCCTAATTGTAATACTGTATATATAAAACACATATTATTTTGGCCTAAAGCCCAACAATAATTTATTTTAATCAAAACAAATTGATTAATTGAATAATTATCTTATTAATAATTCTAGGGTGTGTTTGGGGGCGTTACATCACGAGTTGGGACTAGCTATGGTTACAGTCGACTATACCACTTTCAATGCAGTTTACGCAAAGGTGGAACGAGCTGAGGAAAGAATTGCAGCAAAGAAAGTCTTAGAGAAGAAAGTACCTCTGGACGTCACCTGAATCCATTTCGCCTCTTACATCATCTGAGGAAAGAAATTTTTCTAGAAACATAGAGTTTCCACAAAACAAAAAGACCAAGACCACATCTAGTGTTGTGATTTGAAGTCCATCTTTTACTTATCCTTTATGTCCTCATTGTCATCGTCATCACCCTGGAGAATGTTGGTATATGATGGGAGCATGTTTGGGATGTGGTCAAAAGGGTCATTTCCGACATAGTTGTCCAATCAACCCATCAGCATCAACACCACTCTGAAGGCATATGTCAACAAACCAAATAGAGCTAAAGGAGAGCAAAAGGCATTTGAAAGTACCAACCACGAAAAAACATAGACACATACACAATGAAAGCACGTGAAGACGCCCCCTCAAATGATGCCAATGGTGGTACGCTTACTTTTTGAGATTCCAACATAATTATCCTTTGACCTATTCAAATGCGTATTTGATACCTGCATCATTTTCATGGTGCAGAGTTAGCAAATTTCGAGGACGAAATTTCTTAAGTTGGGTAGAATTGTAACGACCCAAAAACCGGTCTAGTTGTTTTTGATAAAAAGATAATTGTTTGGTGATTGTACCCGTTTAGATTAGAAATAAAAATAATAAATTTAATAATTATATCACATAAATCAGATTGACATATTAACCTTGAAAATAACGGCAAAAATATTCTTGGAATAAAATGTGAACTAAAAAAAATTATTGAAATAAGTAAATTAAAAAAAGAGCATGTTGATCTTATCTTATTTATATTAGCTGACTTTGCATCAAGATAAGGATAATCCTATCCTATCCATATAGGAAACCTTATTAGCTAAGAAAGTACTAATTTATATACGTAGATTCGTAGTGGCATGAATATAAACACATCAACTTACATACTCTATGTCATATTAAATATATATACATATACCTGTGTGTACATATTATCAACACATACAGATATACATTAATTTTGATATATACACATAAAGTCTATATACATAGTATATGGGTGTTTAAATTAATTAAAGTACATAGTACACTACATGAGGAGGAATCATCAGATTTTATTTAGTTCGTTCTTATATAGATATATCCATTTCCAAACACCGAGGTGAGTACCTCCGCCCGTATAACAATTGTTACTTAATATAGTACGTTAATATATGCTATAGTTGTTATATGTATTCAATTGATTTAACTTCCGTCACTAATAATCGGGAACTTCGTCGGCTTTTATTTTAAACATGTGTTACGTCCAAATTGTCTTAAATATTCCCCAAAAGGATTCTATGATGGTTATATAAGGGTATGCGAAGAAAAAATAAGATTTTGAAACAAATTTCTAAACACGTTAAGAACAACGACCAAAAAAACGGGTCACGATAGCGGCATACAATTTCTACAAATCTTTACTTCCAAACTGTTTATATACGTTGTATAAAACGTATTTGATGAGAAAATGAAGAAAATTTGGGTTTTGAACGTGAAAACAAAGTTGCCTCGTCGGAGAAGGTGCCTGGAAATGACCAACTCAGGTGACAAGAATCTTTAACATTCTACATTTAAAACTATTTCTTTACATTCTAAGAAAGTTTTTAATAAGTTCTTAGTAAGGGAAAAGGATAGCTTTGAAGCAAATATGAAACACTCTATGTATTATTTTTAAATTACGTATATAGAGAAAAATATGATATGTGTTGAATTTGAAATATGGATTCAAAGAAGTTAATGAGACAGAAACAGATTGTTGGAGGACGAATCCAAAAAACACGTCAGCTGGACCCGATCAGCCACGTGGAAGACCTCCCGGCTCGGCCCCCGTGCTCGGCTCGGCCTGCGAGCTCAGCTCGGGCGTGGGACAGCGACAGGAGGATAGCGACCGGCCACGTTGACTACGCGAAAGTGATGGGATGAAAGGGACAACACAGAGCAGATGATGACGTCCGCTAGGCGACGAACCTCGATCAGAGGGCTTTGACTATGTGTATTGTATCCCCTATAAAAGGGGTGAGACCCCTCATTGTAATGGAGGCAATTTTTGAAGGGAATAAGCTCCTTTGCATTCTCTCTCTCTCTAAAAACTTATATTATTTAATATATTCGGTGGTTTATAGGCATCAAATTGGTGCTTTCATTGAGAGTAGAGGAACATACTCGTAGGTTAACTCCCGAAAGCGAGAATGGTGCAGACAAAGAGCAACGTCCCCACCACCAGCCACGTTGGTGGCGAGGAGAATGCGCCGGGCAGCGGCAACGGCACGGGTGGTATCGCTTCGACTCCAGACGCGGTCCAGGCGCGGTTCGGCTTGGGGGTGACTACGGAGCAGCTCCAGGCAGCCGTTGCGGCACTTTCCGACATGGGTGGGAACGTGCCCAGCACCAGAGCTGGCAAAGCTCTGCTCGGTCACCATACCGAACACGCTGCCACTTCCCAGCACAAGGGGAAGAAGACTCGGAGGAGTAAGAGGCCCGGTAAGGGCCCGGTGATCGAGGAGGTGCTGGTGGAGGACGTCCTTGAAGGGGAGGGCGATGAGTCCAGTGAGTGTAGAGTCTCGGCCTTCAAACCCTTGGGGGGCGAGGAGACCCGAGTATCGGCCTTCGACCGGCTCAACCGCGGACCGGAAGGCCGCCTAGGTGATCTCCGTCGGCAGATCTCCGAAGGCAAGCGGAGGCACGCTGAGGAATCAGCGACCTCGGATGCGCGCTCGGCGAGGCCCCAGCGACCCGAAGGCCGAAGGGACGAGCGGACTCAGCGTCGCCAGAGTCCAACGAGAACCGAGATTGACTGAATGGGGTGTGACTGAATGGGTGTGACTGAGCTTGCGCGCGAGATTGCCGAGCTCAAGCGCCGAGTGGAGATGAGGGCCCCCTACAGCCAGCCCATCTTGCGCACGGTAACCCCGTTCACACCGAGGGTTATGTCAGTTCCGCTGCTAGCAAACTTCCGGCCGTGGAAGGTCAAGGCTTACAGCGGGACGACGGACCCCCAAGATCATTTGTCAAAGTTCTATGCTTCGATGGAGGCGGCGGCAGCCCCGGACAAGGTCAAGTGCCGGTGCTTCCTCGCGATGCTAGAGGGCTCCGCGTGCGATTGGTTCAACCGGCTCCCGAAGGGAACCATTGACAACTGGGATACACTAGCGGAAAAGTTCTTGACGCATTTCGCGGCCAACAGACGGCAAAGGCTTCCATACTCGCACCTCCTCAACATCTGCATCCGTAGAGGAGAGAAGGTCCGAGATTTTATAGTCCGATGGGAGATGGAAGCCAGAGACGTGCACGGGTCTGATGACCAAGCATTAGTGGCTATGTTTCAAGCAGCTCTTCCCCGCGTAGAGGTGAGGAAGGAGCTCCGCAAGAATCCTCCTCCCACGTACCAGGAGACCTTGGCGCGTGCTAAGTTCCTAGCTTCGAAGGAATTCGACGATGCTCTAGATTCTGAGGCCGCGCCCGCCAAGCGAGCTCCCGTGGACTCGGGAGAGATCGCGAAGAAAAGAAAGAAGAAAAAGGATTACACCGCAGGTCCCAGGACGCCCTCGGCTGGAGTATACTCTTTAGGGGCACCCGTGGGGACGGGTCGAGAGCTCGCCCTCTCCCCGCTCCCCCACGTAGAGACCTACACGGTATCTGGAGGGAGCAAGTACTGTGAGTACCATCGTAACAACACTCATAACACCAAGGAATGCTTCACCCTTCAGAAGGAGATGCAACGGTTGATCGCCCGAGGGCCGGTTCCGCAGGAAGATGGAGCATCCCCGTCATGGGGAGCACCTGAAGGGAGAACCTGGAGGAAGCGGGCCGAGCCGGTCGCTGTGGCAAACTCAAGCAAGGAACCTCGAGAAGAGGCACATCGGGCGGGACTGTGATGGCCTAGACGAGAACGGAGCCCAAGGATATCCGGTGGGATTTATCCATGGAGGAAACATTGGCGGGGACTCCGTCGCTCAAATGAAGAGGTGGAAGCACATGGCCTTCATCGCCAAAGTCCATCAGGCACCGGCGCCCAAGCTTAGAAGACGAGAGCAGATCCAATTCACGGAGAAGGATCTTCCGAACACGCCGAGCCCCCACCGGGATGCCTTGGTCATGAAGATAGAGATCAACGATGCCACAGTGCACCGCACATTGGTGGACACGGGAAGCTCATTTAACATAATGTATGAGAAGACCTTCCAAGACCTCGGCCTGAACCGCAAGGACTTAAGGCCCGTGCGCACTCCCCTCTCCGGGTTCACGGGGGACTCCATCGAGGCCGAAGGAGTCATCACGGTACCCGTGATAGTAGGGGATGGTGCGCACAAGGCCAAGCTGAATATGGAGTTCATGGTTGTAAGCATCAACTGCGCACACAACATGATTCTAGGACGGCCCGGCCTTGAGGACTTGGAATGTGTGATCTCCCCGTACTACTTATGCATGAAGTTCCCCACTCCTTCAAGAATCGGGGTGGCGAGGGGAGACAAAAAATTAGCTCGATCGTTCTACGTCCGAATCACGAGGAAGTTGCCAAGGGATGAGACGTTGGTCGTACACGCGCAGGAGGAAATGCGGAAGCTGGAAGCAAAGTCGAAGGCCGAACCCGCCGAGGAAGCCGAGGAGGTGCCGCTCGACCCTCAGACACCCGAGCGGAAGGTGAAGGTTGGGGCGAGCTTGACTGGGAGCCAGCGGAAGCGCTTGGTGGACGTGCTCACTGCCTACCGCGTGATCTTTGCTTGGGGACCCGGGGATATGCCGGGGGTGGACCCCAAGATCATATGCCACCGGTTGGCAGTCAGCCCGTAGTCTAGGCCGGTAAAGCAGAAGAAGCGATTCCTCTCGTCCGAGCGGAGGGAGTTTGTCGCCAAAGAGGTAGCCACCCTCCAGAGCATTGGGCATATCAGAGAAGTCAAGTACCCGGAGTGGATGGCCAAAGTGGTGCTGGCACCGAAGGGAAACACTTGGAGGATGTGTGTGGACTACACCGATCTAAACAAGGCCTGCCCCATGGATCTGTTCCCACTCCCGAACATCGACCAGCTGGTGGACGAAACGGCAGGCTGCGAGCTCATGAGTTTCATGGACGCCTTCAGCGGGTACCACTAAATCCGAATGCACCCTGAGGACGAAGAGAAGACCTCTTTCACTACCCCCGGCGGGGTATATTGTTACAAGGTGATGCCCTTTGGGCTCAAGAACGTCGGGGCAACCTATGCTATGATGGTAAGCAAGCTCTTTGCGCCCGTCCTCGGAAAGAGCATGGAGGCATACGTCGACGACATGATCGTGAAGAGTAAGCAGGCGATCACCCACGCGGAAGACTTGGAAGGAGTTTTCAAAATCATGACGAAGTACAACCTTCGGTTGAATCCGAAGAAGTGCACATTTGGAGTTCAAGGAGGAAAGTTCTTGAGACACATGGTGAGCCGGCGCGGTATCGAGCCCAACCCCGAGAAGGTGCGCGCCATCCTTGACATGGAAGCTCCACGAAATGTCACTGAGGTGCAGCGCTTGACTCGGAAGTTGGCTGCGCTCAGCCGTTTCCTCTCTAAAGTGGCAGACCGAGCCGCTCCATTCTTCCAAGCCGTGAAGAAGTCCCGAGGGTTCGTATGGACAGAAGAATGTCAACGATCCTTTGAATCTCTCAAGTCTTACCTCCTCTCTCCTCCGGTTCTCGCGAAGCCCGAAGCCGGGGAGACCTTGTATCTTTATTTGGGAGTGTCGCCTAAAGCATTGAGCTCGGTCCTAGTCCGGGACAAAGGCGGAGCTCAACATCCGGTGTACTACACGGCGAAGACACTGAGTGGTGCCGAGCTCAGGTACTCGGTGGCCAAAAAGATGGTTCTGGCCGTGGTTTCAACCGTGCAGCGGCTAACACCCTACTTCCAAGCTCACCTGGTCCAAGTGCTCTCCCAACAGCCCATAGGTGCGCTGCTCAGGAGCCCGAACGCGCCCTCTCTCATGTCCAAGTGGGCGGTGTTCCTTGGAGCCTTCCAGATCGAGTTCAAGCCAAGGCCAGCGATCAAGGGCCAAGCATTAGCTGACTTCGTGGTGGAATGTACCGCTCGGGAAGAGCCGAGCCCGGAAGAACCTGAAACCGACGACTGGTGGATAGTTTTTACCGACGGCTCCTCTACCGCCAAAAACTCGGGGGGTGGAGTGGTAGTCATCGCTCCCGAAGATTTCAGAGCATATTACTCAATTCGATTCGGTTTCAAGGCATCAAATAATGAAGCGGAATATGAAGCGCTCCTGTGCGGGCTACGCCTAGCAGGCGGGATGAACGCGACAAAGCTAAGGGTAAAGTGCGATTCGAAGCTAGTAGTAGGCCATGTCTCGGGTGAGTTCGAGGCGAAGGATGAAAGAATGAAGAAGTATAGAGATACAGCCCTAGAATTACTTAAGAGCTTCACCGCCTATAGTGTTGAGCATATCTCTCGAGCGGAGAACGCCGAGGCGGACATCTTGTCGAAGCTGAGCTCGGACACGCCCGAACATCTCAGGCGAATGGCGAACGTGGAAGAGTTGACCGAACCGAGCATCCATGCTTTCCCTGTGGCAATGATCTGTGCTCGGCCAAGAGATTGGATGGATGACATAGTCCCCTTCCTCAAGAATGGCGCCCTCCCGATTGATGCAATAAAGGCCAAGCTCGTCCGCACTAGGGCACCAGGGTACACTTTGGAGGGCGAAAATCTATACAAGCGAGCTTACAACGGTACGCTACTCAGGTGCCTCCGACTGGCCGAAGCGGAACAAGTCATGAGGGAGGTGCACGCCGGGATTTGCTCCGCTCACCAGGGAGCGTACGCAGTGTCGAGGAAGATAACCCTCCAAGGATATTTTTGGCCAACAATCGTTAAGGATTGCGCGGAGTTCGTGAAAAAGTGTAAGGTTTGCCAAGAGTTCCAGAAGGTACCGGGGAGGCCTTCAACAAACTTTCCCCCCATCAGCACAGATATCTCGTTCGCGCGGTGGGAGGTGGACCTCGTGGGCGCACTTCCTAGAGGTACCGGGAACGTAAGGTATGTCATTGTAGCCATCGACTATTTCACCAAGTGGGTGGAGGCAGCCCCCCACTAGCAAGCATCACCGGAGCTCAATGCCAGAAGTTTCTCGCAAAGCAAGTCATCTGCCGCATCGGCGTCCCCGAGCACATAATAAGTGATAATGGGACACAATTCGAGTCGAAGCCCTTCAACGACTTCCTCGGAAGTTGGGGGATCAAGCACAGCTATGCGTCGGTCGTGTACCCTCTGACGAACGGGCAGGTCGAGAACGCCAACCGAACGATAGTCGACGGGCTGAAGCGGAAGTTGGAAGCTTGCGGAGGGGAGTGGGCACAGGAATTGCCTTACATCCTGTGGACCTACCGGACCACGCCCAGAAGGGCAACCGGGGAAACCCCCTTCGCCCTCTGCTATGTATTCGAGGCGAGGGCACCCGCAGAGATCTCCATCGCAACCCACCGGGAGGAGATCTTCGACCCCGAGCGCAATGAAGAAGCCTTGGCAACCGAGCTCCACCTCGTGCATGAGAGGCGGGAAGCGGCCTTCATACGGGCGGAGAACTACCGAAGGAAGGTGAAGAGCTACCATGATAGACGCGTGCGCGCGCGGGGGTTCATCGAAGGAGACTGGGTATTGTGCAAGAGAACCGTGAGCCGCCCCTTGGAAGGTGGAAAATTTGCCAAAAATTACGAAGGCCCTTATATCATCAAGGAAGTGGTAGGCCCCTCGATGTTCCGACTGCAGACACCGAGCGGAGGGGACGTGCCCAGGACATAGAATGCCGAGAACTTAGTTAAGTTTTATCAGTAGAACTCTGATGTACATGGTCCCCAAAGAGGGAACCCGTAAAATCTTTTGATAGAACTCGATGAAATGAAGATTTTTGCGCATAGAGCCCCCTTTAATCGTACTCGGATGTCTTTCCCGCACGGGGGTCGCGAAAATTCGTGCTCGGCGCTCCTCCCCGGGGGGGAAGGCCGAGCGCAGACCATACCCGGATGATTTTCCCAGAAGAAGGTCAAACATTTGTGCTCGGCACTCTTCCTTAAGAGGAAGGCCGAGCGCAGACCACACCCGGAGGTTTTTCCCGGAAGTTCAAACAATTGTGCTCGGCACTTCCCCTTAGGAGGAAGGCCGAGCGCAGACCATACCCGGATGTTTTTCCCGGAAGAAGGCCAACATTTGTGCTCGGCACTCCTCCTTAGGAGGAAGGCCGAGCGCAGACCATACCCGGATGTTTTCCCCGGAAGAAGGTCAACATTTGTGCTCGGCACTCTTCCTTAAGAGGAAGGCCGAGCGCAGACCACACCTGAATGTTTTTTCCAGAAGGTCAAACATTCATGCTCGGCACTCCTCTTAAGGAGGAAGGCCGAGCGCAGACCATACCCGGATATTTCTCCCCGGACGAAGGTCAAACGTTCGAAACTGATGACTAATAGCGAAAACGAAGATTAAGATCACGTTCAAATGTTATTCATCCCTGAAAAAGGGGAAAGTACGCGGCACAAAAGCCTTACAATAATTAGAATACAGAAATAAACTTCAGTGCATGCCACAATTCCACCCCCGCTTGCATGAACACGGGGGAGGGTAGGAAGGTGGTGAAGGAGCCCTGTTGACAACAGAATGGCTGGTAAACTCGCCAAAGCTGGGCGAACCCGGGTCTTCAAGGGAGTGACGACTCGGATGGTGAGATGCCACGGAACTCTCGCTCGGCACCTCGGCTGGGGGAGCAGGAGGGCGACATCCTCGGCCCCCGCGGTTGGGAGCGGCCAGGGGAGCGGTGGCCTCGCGATGAGCCGGTGGAGAGGGAGTCTTCACGTCCTCCTCCGACGAGTAGTAGATAAACCCTGGGATCTTGGCAAAAGGATCGGGGTGCACTGACTCGGACGCAGAGTCAGAGTCCCACGAGTCCCGCGGCGAAGGCGGTGGGGACGAGCTCGGCCCTGACTTAGTGGGGATGGCAGAGGAGCCCCCAGGGGAGTAGCTGCTGAGGGAGAAGGTTTCTCCCCGCATCTCGCTCGAGTCGGGAGGAGTTGGAGCCGAATGAGACATAGCAAGAAAGGAAATTAAAAATGAGTGCAAAGACATTATGAGGACCCCCCCCCCTTATATAGGCATCTCGCCAAGGGGGGAAGGTACACGTGGCAGCACTGGGATGGTCAAACCAGAGGCTGGTCAAAAGGTCCCAAGTCCCAATGATGTCTCGGTTAACGAGGGGACAGAAGAGGGACCAAGTCCCAAGGCGACCTCTTTTCGGCATGGCCGAGCCTAGGTCGGACGAGGGATGGGCGAGCATGCAAGTAAAAGGGAAGGACGAAGGTGAGCATGCAAGTAAAAGGGAAGAAAAAACATAGCATATCCATACAAAGCAGAGATCCGAATCCGAATCTAAAATTAACAAGTCATGAGTAGCATTACATCAGGCCTCCTCCTGGAACGCGGCCGACGCCAGGAATTCGCCCACAGCCTGATCGCGACCCTCCTGGCACGCCTTGCGAGTGGCCTCCTCCGCGAGCTGCCAAGCCTGCTTCTCGGCTTACCGAGCTTGCTCTTTGGCACGGCGAGCTTGCTCCTTGGCTGCCTTCAGCTTCTCATTGAGGTCAGTGATCTCGAGGTAAGCCTTGCCCCGATCCTCCTCACTAACGTGCAACCGGTGACTCATTGCATCATCGCCTGCAAGTAATTCAACGGGTGAGGGCAGCACAGGAGTGTCACATTCGTAAGACCTAACAAAGGAAGCTTACCGAGCCCAGCTCATGGAAGGAAGCCGAGGCCAGAGTCTCCCGGTCGAGGTCTTGGATCTTCGCACGATCAGTGGGAGGAGTGAAGCTCCACAGGAAGGTCTCCGGATCATAGTCCCCATCTGTGAAGGAGATCCGGGCGCGGAAGGCCGCCTTGACGCGGGAGGGGGGCCGAAGTCCTTCATAATGGGAACATGAGCTTCACCCGCTGGGAACATGAGCTTCACCCGAGGTGGGAGGAGCCTGAGAGTTGTTGCTCGGGGCGTCTGGAACATGAGCTTCACCCGCTCGGCGTTCGAAAGCATGATTTCACCTACACAGAACAAAAGAAAACAAGTGGTGAGGCAAGTAATTCACTACGAGAGAGACGTTGGGAAGCCCAAAGTAGTCGCGACCCACGGATGGCCGAGTGGGAGAGATTGCACTGACCTAAGGGGCCTCCTTCGATGATCCGATGGGTGTCTTCCGGGGATAGGAAGACGAAGCCAAGCGCCGCCAACGCCTCGTTCGTCACTAGCGAGCCAACTTTGAAGGGCCCCCCTCGGCAGAGCGTCTCTACATCCTCGAGCATCTTGTCCGAGGTAACGCACGTGGTACGACGACGGAAGGAACTATGGGGCTCTTTACGAAAGGGGGAGCCCGAGGAGAGAGAGACGAAGATGAACTCCCCCTTCCAACTCTTGGCGGAGTCCTTCCTCGTCTTGAAGAGCTTCTCTTGCCTCTGGAAGATAGAGGCGTACGAGCCCGAGTCCGAGTCTGAACGACCAGATGACTTTGCTAACCGAAAGAGCAACAAGAAGCGGGCCAGATCGGGGTGGACCCTGGTCCCCTGGCAACAGACAAGGAACCCCGCCAAGTAACGATGGGATTTGGGTACCACTTGGCACGGGAGAAAATCGAAATGGAGAAAAAAATCTATGACTAACCGATGGAGGGGGAAGCGAAACCCATACTCAAGGGACTTGAGGTGGATGGCGAAGAAACCCGAGGGGGCGTCGAAAACGGACTCCTTGGGGGTGGGACGACGCACGGTCACAGGAGGATAGCGACCGGCCACGTTGACTACGTGAAAGTGATGGGATGAAAGGGACAACACAGAGCAGATGATGACGTCCGCTAGGCGACGAACCTCGATCAGAGGGCTTTGACTATGTGTATTGTATCCCTATAAAAGGGGTGAGACCCCTCATTGTAATGGAGGCAATTTTTGAAGGGAATAAGCTCCTTTGCATTCTCCCTATCTCTCTAAAAACTTATATTATTTAATATATTCGGTGGTTTATATCCATCAAAGATACAATTTATATTTTCTAAATTTAATAAACGATATCTGGTATGTGAACTACGGTTCACAAGGTTCCACAGGGTTAACTAGTACCCCTCCATTGCCGTACGTACAAGCTCGTCATAATGGACTAGTCGTGTACGTTAAGTACTCGGAGTCCTAGTTACATAATGGACTTGTCTTGTACGTTAAGTACTTGAAGTCCCAGTTAAATAAGAATAAAGCAAAGTAAAGAAAAAGTTCAAATATGTGGATATTGCACCTTTATGGAATACTGAAACAGAAATGATTTGGTATTATCAAAATAAAGAATTTTGAGAAAAGTATATGTTTACACTATTATATTTTGTACCTATTGTTATAATTGGTACCACTCAGCTTTTGCTGATCGGTTGGCTCTAATTTTTTTAGGTACACAAACAGATTAGTGATCTAACCGAATGACAATGCTAAGGCGATGGAAGCATGGACGAGATGACATAAAGAATGATAACAATAATAAAGATTTTATTTTGAAATATATATTTTGTACGAATATGTTAACCTTCCGCATGTATAATAGTTACTCTGATATTATCAAAAAATAAATATGTTTTGTTTAACGCTCCATTTTCCGTTTCAAAAAGTTAGACTCGTTAACACCGCGAGTCAAATATTCGAATAAACTCGGGTATCTGGGTTGTGTGTTACATTTATGTATCGAAGCAAAGTGAGGCCGGAGACAGATATCTTTCTAATCTGTGTGGTATGGGACATACAGCTTGGTAAGATACATGTAGCCGGTGGAGGTAGATATTTTTCTAATCTATGTGGTATGGGACACACAGCTTGGGGAGATACATGCAACCAACTCATGATCCTTGGGACCCCTCGCGCGTGAATGGTGGCGAAGCGTGACTCCCCGCCTAAGGGCTCAAGCAATTGAGTGCTTTGATAGGACCAAATTGTAGCCACATAGATGTGTTACAATTTGGTATCAGAGCATTAAGGTTTTAAAATGATTTTCGGACCCAAATAAGGATTTAAAAAAATTATAGTAGTACATCTCGTCCACTCATCCTCCCGCATTACTCCGGAAAGGTAAATTTTTAATACTTAGTACTTGACAATTATATAAATTTATATGGACATATGGTTAGTAAAAAAAGAGAATACATGAAATTTTTATGATATGATTTTTTTCGAGCATTTCTCAGATTTAACGACGTTATTCAAAGTTAGTTTAAGTCGGATTTTTCAGGAGTGTGAATCCCGTCTACATGTGAAAGAGAACGTCAAGTTTAGATACTAGAACTTGTCATTGTAAAATACGGAGTATATTTTTAAGACTTTACCAAACCACAATATAGAAGGACCATTGACAAATAGTAACAAATATAAATATTGTAACAAATATGCACATAGGGTAGTAATGATGTCGTAATTATTTTTAATAGATGAGTACTCAATTCGTCCATAACGAGAATAACCTACGTAGTGACGAGACAAATCAAAATGTTCAAACCATCACTCAAATACTAGAGGCAGTTCAGCACATGACGCCACCACAATACACTGTGGAGAAGTTGAAGAGGAACGGAGCTGAGGAAATCTTGGCAGACAAATAAAGATTCCAGGTAAGGCAGAGTACTAGTTGGTAAGAACCAAAAGAGCTCTGAAAACTTTGAAGGTCCCGGAATATGATAAGCCACAATTAGCAATTGCACTGCTTCAAGACGCGGCATATGACTGGTGGAAAAGAATCGAGAGAGATCCCACCACTCCTGAACACATCACATGGGACTTCTTTGAACATGTTTTCAAAGAAGAGTATGTTCCAGACAGATACAGGGAAGCCAAACGCAAACAATTCACGGAATTGAGGCAGAATGGACGACCTATAATCGAATACCGGCAAGAGTATGATCATTTGGCTAAATATGCAACACACCTAGTAAACACTACCGCAAGAAGGTGTGAAACGTCTGTTGAAGGCCTAGATCACGAGTTGGGACTAGCTATGGTTACAGTCGACTATACCACTTTCAACGCAGTTTATGCAAAGGTGGAACGAGCTGAGGAAAGAATTGCAACAAAGAAAGTCTTAGAGAAGAAAGTAGCCTCTAGAACGTCACCTGAATCCATTTCGCCTCTTACATCATCTGAGGAAAGAAATTTTTCTAGAAACATAAAGTTTCCACAAAACAAAAAGACCAAGACCACATCTAGTGTTGTGATTAGAAGTCCATCTTTTACTTATCCTTTATGTCCTCATTGTCATCGTCATCACCTTGGAGAATGTTGGTATATGATGGGAGCATGTTTGGGATGTGGTCAAAAGGGTCATTTCCAACATAGTTGTCCAATCAACCCATCAGCATCAACACCACTCTGAAGGCATATGTCAACCAACCAAACAGAGCTAAAGGAGAGCAAAAAGCGTTTGAAAGTACCAACCACGAAAAAACATAGACACATACACAATGAAAGCACGTGAAGACGCCCCCTCAAATGACGCCAATGGTGGTACGCTTACTTTTTGCGATTCCAACATAATTATCCTTTGACCTATTCAAACGCGTATTTGATACATGCATCATTTTCGCGGTGCAGAGTTAGAAAATTTCGAGGACGAAATTTCTTAAGTTGGGGGAGAATTGTAACGCCCCAAAAACTAGTCTAGGTGTTTTAGATAAAAAGATAATTGTTTGGTGATTGTACCCATTTAGATTAGAAATAAAAATAATAAATTTAATAATTATATCACATAAATTAGATTGACATATTAACCCTGAAAATAACGGAAAAAATATTCTTGGAATAAAATTTGAACTAAAACAAAATTTATTGAAATAAGTAAATTAAAAAAAGAGCAAGTTGATCTTATCTTATTTATATTAGCCGACTTTGCATCAAGATAAGGATAATCCTATCCTATATATATAGGAAACCTTATTAGCTAAGAAATTACTAATTTATATACATAGATTCGCAGTGGCATGAATATAAACACATCAACTTACATACTCTATGTCATATTAAATTTATATACCTGTGTATACATATTATCAACACATACATATATACATTAATTCTGATATATACACATAAAGTCTATATACATAGTATATGGGTGTTTAAATTAATTAAAGTACATAATACGCTACATGAGGAGGAATCATCAGATTTTATTTTGTTCATTCTTATATTGATATATCCATTTCCAAACACCGAGGTGAGTACCACCGCCCGTATAACAATTGTTACTTAGCTTAATATAGTACGTTAATATATGCTATAGTTATATATATTCAATTGATTTAACTTCCGTCTCTAATAATCGGGAACGTCGTCGGCTTTTATTTTAAACATGTGTTACGTCCAAATTGTCTAAAATATTCCCCAAAAGGATTCTATGATGGTTATATAAGGGTATGCGAAGAAAAAATAAGATTTTGAAACAAATTTCTGAACACGTTAAGGACAACGACCAAAAAAAGGTTCACAATAGCGGCTTACAATTTCTACAAATCTTTATGTCCAAACTGTTTATATACGTTGTATAAAACGTATTTTGATGAGAAAATGAAGAAAATTTGGGATTTGAACGTAAAAACAAAGTTGCCTCTTCAAAGAAGGTGCCTGGAAATGACCAACTCCGGTGACAAGAATCTTTAACATTCTACACTTAAAACTATTTCTTTACATTCTAAGAAAGTTTTTAATAAGTTCTTAGTAAGGGAAAAAGGATAGCTTTGAAGCAAATATAAAATACTCTTTGTATTATTTTTAAATTACGTATATAGAGAAAAATATGATATGTGTTGAATTTGAAATATGGATTCAAAGAAGTTAATGAGACACAAATAGATACAATTTATATTTTCTAAATTTAATAAACGATATCTGGTATGTGAACTACGGTTCACAAGGTTCCACCGGGTTAACCAGTACCACTCCATTGCCGTACGTACGAGCTCGTCATAATGGACTAGTCGTGTACGTTAAGTACTCGGAGTCCCAGTTACATAATGGACTTCTCTTGTACGTTAAGTACTTGACGTCCTAATTAAACAAGAATAAAGCAGAGTAAAGAAAAAGTTCAAATGTGGATATTGCACCTTTATGGAATACTGAAACAGAAATGATTTGGTATTATCAAAGTAAAGAATTTTGAGAAAAGTATATGTTTACGCTATTATATTTTGTACCTATTGTTACAATTGGTACCACTCAGCTTTTGCTAATTGGGTTGGCTCCTTTTTTTAGGTACACAAACAGAATAGTGACCAAACCTGAGGACAATTCTAAGGCGATGGAAGGATGGACGAGATGACATAAAGAACGATAACAATAATAAAGATGTTATTTTGAATATATATTTTGTACGAATATGTTAAGCTTCCGCATGTATAATAGTTACTCCAATATTATCAAAAAATAAATAAGTTTTGTTTAATGCTCCATTTTCTGATTCAAAAAGTTAGACCCGTTAACACCACGAGTCGGATATTCGAATAAACTCGGGTATCTGGGTTGTGTGTTACAGAATTCTATTTTTTCGTCGAGGATTGATTCTGAGACTTTGTGTGTTGGAGGACAGTAAACATGGATGTCAACACCTAGTTTAAAGCTACGGTAATCATGGGTGTCAACAGGTATTGAACCACTTGTTTCGCCAAGTACTCTACTTGGATTTTCAATTCTACATTTAAAGCTACGAGCTCTTCCTGAGAGATGTTTTGGGAGGTATTGGACATGGTTTATAATTTCAGAAGTAAGGGATGAGGCTTTGGGTTGGTTTGGCTGAAATGACCAAGGGTAGGGTTTTGGGGAAGGTTTGGCCGGAATGACCAAGGGGTTTGGCTTTGGGGATGGCTCTCGCCAAAATGACCAAAGTAAGAACTTGGAAAGAGTGTTGCTGAAATGACCAATAAAATAGAAAGAGAAGTAGAGAAGGGTGTATGGTCTCTTAGAGATATTAAAAAAAGGTAAAATACCAAGTGTTGTACCCAAGCCTAAGGTATAATCTACTTAAAGAGAAATGATGGATTTGTGTGAATGTAAATGAGGAAACACGCTAGGCCAAATAAATGGGCAAGAGAGATATGATATATTTGTGAGGTGTTAAAGTTTGAATATATGAAGGGAAGTGAGATAGTGTAAAGGGAGAGTGGGGCACGAAATAGATGGTGGAAATGATGAGTTCTTTTATGTTTTATCACTTTAAAGAATGGTGAAAAATCAGGAAGAAGGGTGAGTTTAGAAATTGTGGGATAAAGCAAAATTAATGCTAGGAGATCAACACATTCTTAGCTTAATTTGGAGCTAACTTAATACTAAAGGATATACACACCTTTAGATTGATTTGTTGTCATTTGGATTTTTGTAGCTGGAGTTCAGGTCATTAGTGGTTTCAAGCAATAATCTAAAGTTCTCATCTAAGGTATGTGTTACGCAGAAGTACTTTTGGGGTATATATAGCTATCAAGAGATTCCTAATAGGATTAGGAATGCTAAAAGGAAACTACCATATACAAGTCTAATACAAATCAAAAACTAATATTCCTTGTCCTTCTCTAACACCCCCCTCAAGTTGGAGCATGTAGTAATGAAATGCCCAACTTGGGGATCAAGAATTCAAGTCGTGCTTTGCCCAATGCCTTCGTATGCATATCGGCTAGCTGATGTGTAGTGGATACGTGATATGTCTTGATGACTCCTCGCAATAGCTCGTCTCGAACAAAATGACAATCGACTTCGATGTGCTTCGTACGCTCATGGAAAACAGGATTGGCTGCGATATGTAATGCAGCAGTACTGTCACACTTTATGGTCATAGGCTGCGAATGTTCAATCCCAAGAGAACCGAGTAGATTATTGAGCCACTTTAACTCACAAGTGACCGCGGCTAGAGCTGTGTACTCAGCTTCCGCAGACGATCGGGCCACGGTCGTCTGTTTCTTTGTTTTCCAGGAGACAGGATATTTGCCAAGTTGGACAAACCAACCGGTGAGGGATCTTCTTGTCAAAGGACAGGCGGCCCAGTCTGAATCACACCATCCCGTTAGCTGCAAGGTATTGTTAGCTGATAAGAAGATCCCTTGACCGGGTTGCCCCTTCAAGTATTGAACCACACCCATTGCAGCCTTCCAGTGCTCTTCACGAGGCTCTTGCAGAAACTGGGCCAATGTATGAACCGCATAGGACAGCTCTGGTCGAGTGACCAACAAATAAACAAGGCGACCAACGAGGCGTCTATATTTCTCAGAGTCAGAAAGTAATGGCGTGGTAGTAAGCGCCAACCGATGGTTTGGCTCAAGTGGGGTGCCTAGTGGACGTGCCCCAAGTAAGCCAACTTCAGAGATAATATCCAACGCATACTTTCTTTGACACAAGAAAATGCCTGCCGGAGTGCGCGCAACTTCAATGCCCAAGAAATATTTAAGTCGGCCCAAATCCTTCATGTGAAAACATTGGGACAAGTAGAACTTAAACTTTGCAACTTGATGAGAGTCACTGCCGGCAATCACAAGGTCATCCACATAGACGAGAACATGCAGAACACCCCCCCTTTGTCGTAGGGTAAAAAGGGAATAATCGAAGACAGACTGAGCAAAACCATATTTCTTTAAGGCCTGAGAGAGTTTGGCAAACCAACATCTGGGGGCTTGCCTCAATCCGTATAAAGATTTCTGAAGTTTTCAAACAAGACCTGGACGAGAAGGAGTGAATCTGGGAGGTAGGTGCATGAAGACTTCCTCATTAAGATCACCATGAAGAAACACGTTGTGAACATCCATCTGATGAAGCTCCCATGATTTAGCTGCAGCCACGGCTAATAAGGTTCTTACGGTGGTTAGTTTCACGACAGGAGCAAATGTTTCGTTATAATCCAACCCTTCAACCTGATGATTACCGAAGACCACCAGTCGTGCCTTGTACCGTTCGACACTACCGTCGGCCTTGCGTTTGATTTTGTACACCCATTTGCTCCCCAAAGGCTTCTTGTGAGGAGGAGCACTGACGAGGGTCCAAGTCCCGTTACTCTGTAATGCATCAATTTCCGCCCGCATGGCCTTGCGCCATGCTTCAGATCGCATCGCTTCACGGAAATTTCTGGGCTCGATCTCGGAGTCAATGGCTGTGAGATAGTACTTGTGTGAAGGAGTAAATTTGTCATAATTGATGAATGCGCTTAACGGATACTTGCTGAGCGTTTGGAAGGTAGTATATGTGACGTAATCCTTCAGACGGGTGTTCGGTATGCGTGCTCGTTGCCCACGACCAGCTATAGGTGCTGCCTCGTCGGGTAGTTGGTCCTTCAATTCAGCACTAGTGCTGCTGCCAGTTCCGGCAGCGCTGGACGATGTCATGTCGCCCGCTGCTACGGGTGTTGTGTCTTCGGTGGCCGGAAGGGGCTCTAGGGCTGCTACGGGTGCTGTGTCTTCGGTGGCGGTGTCGAAGATTGTAGGTGCTACAGCAGCAGGTCGTCTTGGGAGCCGTGTGATCAGATCCTCCTCCATTGGTAATGGGCCGTCCGATACCGGAATTGGTTGGTCGGTCTCTTTATCTGAAAGGGTTAGATATGGAAAAATATTTTCCAAAAAGATAACATCACGGGAAACAATTATTTTCCCCGTGTCGGGGCAATAAATTCTCCATCCCTTCTTTCCATGTGGATATCCGACAAAGATACCCGGTGTGCTACGTGGAGCGAACTTATCACTTTCTTTTCTTCGAACATAGCATCTGCATCCAAACACATGAATGTGAGATAAGTGAGGTGGGTTCCCATACAATTTGGAGTATGGTGAAACCCCCCTAAGAGAGAGGATGGTGTTCGATTAATGAGGTAGGTGGCGGTTTGGATGCAATTACCCCAAAATTCAATTGGTAGTCCAGACTGAAATCTCAG